AGGGAGTGATATATTGTGTCAGTAATCTATGAGGAAAAGCAGTTGGAGGGATCGCTGAGAGGTGACCGTGTCAGAGTGATGGTCGTGGGCAGAGCGAACGCTGACCCAACTGTGGTTAGAGTGGATGTCAGGAAGCTGGAGTTGAGAGAGTGGAACGTAATCTTCCAATCTTCCCTCGATCTGGGGGAAGTGCCATGGGATTGGAGAGATAGAAACTAGGAACTGCAGAAGGCCATCTAGCCCTTCCTGCCTGCTATCCCTTTCATGATGATCTCCGATCTAAATGCCATCTTTTCTCTGTGCCTAGAGTGACCAATGTTCCAACCTTACTAAGGGAGAAATACTGGACTCGAATGGTCTGGAAAGGCAAACCAATCTCAAGGTTCATTTGCCACTTGTCAGCCCAAGCCTGGATATTGTCCAGATCTTGTTGCATGTGAACACAGGCTGCTTCAGTATCTGAGGAGTCACGAATAGTGCTGAACATTGTGCAATCATCGGCGAATCATCACTTGTGACCTTCTGATGGAGGGAAGGTCATTGCTGAGCTAATGTCCCCATTTTGATGGACAATGTCATATTTGAGTGAGGCCTGTGACAGTGGAACCTGACCGAGTGCACCATCCTGCACAGGTCTGTGCCCTCAATTGACCTCCTTTCGATCGCTCTCGTCACTGAATCCACTCCTTGTTACTTTGTTCTTTGTGTATTAAAATGCTACAAAAACCTTTGATGCAAATCTTTCTGATATCCCTAGTGTAAATGGAAAATTGGAGTTGGTGATCCTTTTCTAAGATGCACAGTTCAATGGAAAATATAATCTATTTCTGGTAAATCCTCAAGCAGTGTTTGTCATCACATTAATTAGGGTCCACCACAGGGATCAGAGCAAAGAGCAAGAGGATCCCAAATATGAACAACACTATTCTTTATTAAGGGAATGTGCGTGTTGGTTTATTGCAGCATTTATTGCCCATCCCTAATTGCCCAGAGGGTGGAGAAACAGAGTGATCCCAGCTTGTGACACACCCAGTCAGGCTGAGAGACCCGAACAGAGGGCAGCAGCACAGCGAGAAGCTTCAGGAATTCAGGACAGAGAGAGAGGGGCATGGGGGAGGTGACAGGGCAAGGAGTAGAGGGCACAGATTGTCAGTTCAAG